ACAGTGAGTTTTAATTTATGTGATATATAACTACTAACTTCTAACTCAAAAGAAATAAAAAAAAAATAGACAAATTAGAAAGGGCCGATTAAAAAAAAATCAAAAATTGATTTTGACTTGTAGTGTTTAATTCAGGTTTTGTCATCTTAGTTTTGATTTTGGTTTGAATCATAAAGATGTTATGATTTGGTTTTCAGTTAAAAAATAAAATTTATGTGAATTCAATTGAATTATATTATTTTACTATTTTATATATTTTATCAAATAAAATATTTTTATTTATAAATTTGTTAATAAATATTTTGAAAAAATTAATATCTGTAAACCAAAATAATTTAATTTTAAAAAATTAACGAATCAAAATTAGTTTGAATCGATAAAATTCGAATATCGATTCGAATGAATCAATTTTTATGAACTTTTGTTTTGGTTTTAGTTTGAATTTTAAAAAATGCAAAGCTCATTAATAAAAATTTTTTCTCACATCAAGTTAAATCAAATTGTTATAAACCCTATATTAGACAATTCAATACTTCATGATGGTAATAATACATATTGTTATAAAATAATCACATTAACATTTCAAATGAAGGGAGTCCGGCCAATGAAGGGAAGCCTGATGCTACTGGGCTTAAGCAGGTTGACATTGAGAGTGGGAGGATTGTTACGGAATGGAAGTTTGAGAAGGATGGGACTTATATTACGATGGGGGATATTACCAACGATACCGAAGGGTCACAATTGGATCCATCTGAATCTACCCTTTTGGGTTTGGATGATAATAGGTTATGCCAGTGGGATATGAGAGAGAAAAAGGGGATGGTCCAGAACATTGCCACAAGTGACTCACCTGTATTGCATTGGACACAAGGCCATCAGTTCTCAAGAGGGACGAATTTTCAGTGCTTTGCTAGTACTGGTGATGGTTCGATTGTGGATGGTTCGCTTGATGGGAAGTTCAGATTGTATTCGAAGACGTCAATGAGGCAGGCCAAGACTGCTTTTCCTGGGCTTGGTTCGCTAGTTACTCGTGTAGACATTACCTATAACGGGAAGTGGGTGTTGGGCACAACTGATACATATCTGATCCTCATTTGCACTCTTGTTTACTGATAAAGATGGGAAGAAAAAGAATGGATTTAGTGGTAGAATGGGGAATAGAATTCCAACACCCAGATTGTTGAAGTTGACTCCTCTCGATTCACATCTAGCTGGGAACAATAATAAATTTCATGATGGCCATTTCTCATGGGTAATATCAAATCCCCTTTATACCTGGCATTCCTTTATTCATTGTTTTCTGCAATACTGTTTTCACTTTTCTTTGGTAGTCTGCTGAACTTTACTTCCTGTTTCTTTATGTTTGGATTTTTGTTTAGCTAAAATTTATTTGTCTAACGTGCATATCATTTGATGTTTCATGTGTTAGGTCTAACTAGTTTTTGTATTCCCTGGAGGTTTCTCTATGGCCTGAAATTCTAAAATAAAGTTAGCACTGAGAAATTTAGCATAAACCTTAAAACCTTGCATCATAATTTCTTTCATGTTTAGCTTGATGTTTTTTCTTCATTATGACTGTTCTTCTATATGCATCGTATCCATTGCATTTTTCATTGGCATATTTGTTTTACCTGATGTGCTTTTGCCCATGTTTTTTTGCATGTGTTTTAGAATCTGTTGCTTGGCCAAGGCCATTGTGCATGCTTTAAGTTGTATAATGTAGTGAATTTTTTTTAATGCAGCAAAATTTCTCCATTCCCCTGTGATTCATTTACATTAGATAGTTTAAATGACCATTTGTGTTGCTACATCTTGTAACTTTGATCCTACGTGACATTGATTACTTTTAGAAATGAAATGTGTATAGACTCTCTTTAGGTCACTGAGAATGGTAAACAAGAGCATCACCTAGCTGCAACTGTGGGTAAGTTCAGTGTGATACGGGATTTCCCGCAAATAAAGAACAGTGCTCATGGATGCTTCCGGAATCAGCAGGGCCTCAAGAGCTGTTTGCTACAAGATTGTGTTGAAGAACGAATCTATTGTAGAGAGTCGTTTCATGGATGACAAGTTTGTTGTTAGTGACTGACCAGAAGCTCCACTGGTTGTGGCAACTCCCAAGAAAGTCAGCTCATCAGCCTTTCTAGCAGACGATGACATCGCTCAACAACTTACTGAGATGTTTGGACTCCCTTCCGTTTGTAGGGTTTGCTTCTACTGCATCAACATGCTTTGTTTCTGTATTCAAATTTATTTCATTTTGTCTTCTCCCCCCTCCATCTTGTACTTGCAAATAGTTATAGGCTTTATGGTGGGTGAAAAAGCTTTGATTGTTTCACATTTTACAGTGATTCTTGCGCTTGTTAATCATCTTATATGAATTTCATGTCTAGTGAAATTTTTTGTTAGTTAAACTATAGCCAAAAGGACGGATCATGATCCATAGCCAAATGATTTTGTGCCAGAGGTGCAATTCTGGTCAAGCCTTTTGTATAGGGCTGAGAGATGACCTTTTCCTTTACCCCACTTAATTTTGGAATGATTGGGTTTGGCACGTTATCGAGATTGACCCAATTGTGCTCTTGTTGGGCCATTAGGCCTAACTTTTTAGACGATGGAAAACACTACCACCATATTGGTAATACTCAATAAATGAAAGAGAAAATAGCACATAGAAAGTTAAGGAAAACCTGAGGAAATTACATCTGAAAGGGATAAAGAGCTGAACGAGATCAAATCTTGTTACTTCTGCAATTATGGATTTGAAATTTAATTGCAATGTCAAATCAAATCTTAGTCATGATGGTTGGGTTGGTTCGTCAAGAGATTGGACTCATTTTCAACCCGTTGCTCTCTGTTCGGATGAAGCCTAGCAACTCATCCAACTTGAAATCCTGATTTACGAGCGAAACTCTGATTGAATTATTAAAGATATAAAGATATGATGATTTAAATAATATGATAAAAAATAATAAAAATAAAAATAACGATAATAATAAAATTTAAAATTTTAACAAAAATTATAAATAAATTTAATAAAATTAAAAAATATATTTTTATATTTTTATGTCGACATTAATTATAATTCATAATTTTTATATAAAATATTATATAAATAAATAAATTATTAATATTTTATATAATATAAATATACGAATTATTAAATTTAAAAATATGTTTCATTGATACTTTTATTTTTTATATAAACATTAAAAAAATAACCAAACAAAACTTAAAAAAATTAACTCAATTCCCAATACCGTGATATTTGAAATTAGCTCTCCCTTTCTTCATGTCCAATTGATTGATGGTATTCATCTTAGAGTGGATAACAACATTTTTTTTTCCTATTTCTATTTGGGTCCAAACAATAGTATTTAAGGATATTGAAGAAAAATGTTGGCAAAATAAAAATTGGAGCTCTAATTGTTGTCTTGTGGAAAAACTCCATGATTAGATAGGGGGATTCCTTGGGCTAGTTCCAGATTGTAGCCGTGTGTGTTCCTCCACATGATATTAGGTAACATTTGTCTCTTCAACAAGGGACAGTGCTGTTGCAATTCGGCATGCACGAAGCCACCAACTCCTTCGCCTTAGCCCAGGGCTACTATTTTTAAAATACAACTTTACAAAATAAATATGCCCACCCTAGACGGCATTCAACGAATGTGTACTTCCACCGGCACCACTATTGTCCTAAAAGGTTAGGTGCTTGACATTTAATCTCTTTAAGCAAGGTTCGAGGGATGGTAAAGACAGGAACCCCAAAAAAAAAATCTGTATTTCTTACCTTAAAATGTCACAAATTTTACTCTATTTTCAAAAAAAAAAAAAAGCTTGGTTTAGAAGGAAGGGAAACATCATGATTAGACACATCATACGATAGGGGTCGACCCGTCACTATTGGAGGTGCCTATGGGGGTTCTACATGTTCTCTCTTTCCCTTTCTTACGTCTTAAGATTATGTCATAAAATATGAGATACAATCAACGGTGTCGTCAGTTTTCGATTCAATTTGATTTTATAAAATTAATTTTTTAATTATATTAAATAATATTTTATTAATCTCAAATAGATTAAAATTAATTATAAATTTAAATAAATTTAAATATCAAATTTTGAATCATATTTATTTATTAATATTATAAAATCAAATAAAGCGTGGGACGAATAAAATCCGTTTCGAATCAACGGATTGCATCACTCATCAATCGTCATTCTCTTTGTCGAACGGCAACCAATTTTTTTTATCACGTGATGAAGTGTGCACATGTAAAATGTGATGAAGATCTTGTTTATATATTTTTTTAACTTATGGACAAAAGTTGCATTTTGCACGTGTTAAATTAGAGGGTCCCACTGACCAACATTGCTCTGTACAGTCAATCTAGGAGTCGTTGATTCTTGAACCTTCGAGGGTCCCAACTTCCCCACCTGGGAGAAGTCGAAACTCCCTTTGTGTTACACGCACGTGTTTCTCTCTTTAGTCGTTTTATTGTCAGTTCTTATAATTTCCAATGTACGGGAAAAAAAAAAAAAAAAAAACACCCCTTCTGTGCTGCTGCTTTCATCATGTGAAATTAGAACTTTCCTACGGCCTGGGGTTTTGGGTCCCAAGTTGATTTTGAATCAGACAAATGGAGCCGATACTCTTTTTGCCATTTGCACTTGTAGCGTTATTGCAACATACAAGAATGTCAAAAAACGAGTCCCTTCGGGGACAGCCGATGAAATTGAATAATTAAAACCAAAACCAGAATAATTTCGAAAGGGATAGAAGATGAAAGACCCAGTTCTCGCAAAGGAGTTCCACATCTTATTGTACTGGAATCTAAAGAAGTAGTAGGTAATCAACCTTCATGAGACTCTTTCTTGAAGCTAATAAAATGAGAAAGAGGCTATACGAGGCAGAAATTCTGATTGACTTCCTATGAGAAACAACAGATTTAACTTCCAGGTCTTTACTGGAAGCAATGAGAAAGAAATGGAAAAAAGATTAAGTTGCCAGCTTGCTACAGATTCATAACAGTTGCCTGGAGAAAACTGATCAAGATTCAAGAACTATTAACATTTCCTGTAGTCGTAGCAGAATCCGAAGAATTATTGTCCCCACCCATGTTTGTCATAGTCATCATCCATTGTTCAAACTCATCTTCGCCAATTCCATCCCAAAAATCAGTCCCAAATCCCATTTCCATGTCCATTTCCATGCTCACATTTCTCTCACTTTCTTGTTGCACATTTAACGACCTACTATTATCTTGATCAGGCACAACTGCAGCTGTCACTGTCGCTGTAGCCGTTCCTGTTGCTAGTGCTGGTGGTGTTGTCGCTGTTGCTGTAGCCGTTCCTGTTGCTAGTGCTGGTGATGTTGTTAAATTGCCATCGCCGTTGCTATCAGGAAATGGGAAGTTAAGCTTAGCTCTTGGTCCACGGAATTCGATAGCTGCTTTATCGTAAGCGCGAGCTGCTTCCTCCCCCGTGTTGAAGGTTCCAAGCCAGACCCTTGTGGAGCGCTTTGGATCTCGAATCTCCGCTGCCCATTTTCCCCATGGCCTTTGCCTAACACCCCTGTAATTTTTCTTTACTCGTTTAGTTTTAGTAGTAGTTGCTCGCTTCTTTTCTTCTTGCTGACTTGGCGGGAAAAGATTGCACGACTGGCAGCCGTCAATTTTGCACAGGTGGCACTTACCCATAACCTCACTCGCTTGAAATACCATGTTCCCGCAATCAGCGTTGACCCCAGCAGTAACAGTGGAACTAGAAGCCCCGAGGGCACCTAAATCGAAAGAGGTGGAGGAGGAGGATGGGGTAGAACCAGTGATGACGTTTGTGAGGGCAGAGACCATGACGGAGATTTCTTGTTGGCGAGAAAGACGATGAACTGATGGTGGTGAAGGCGGCATTGACCGTGTTGGTGACTGGTGACTTCAGGTGAATTTTCGTGCCTCTAACTTCGCTTCGCCTTTTCTCTGGAGTTTCCAGACTTGGGAGGGTTGTGGGGACAAGAAAAGAAGAGAGGAAAGCAGCGTTTTATACGGAGATTGGAAAGGTGCTAACGTGGCATGCCAGCTGGAACGCTGTTAGCACGCGGGTTACCAAATATGTACAGGAGCACGTGCGCAAATAAAAATGGTGGGCCTATAATGTTACGTGGCTCCTGACGTCAATAAAATAAAACAGAGAGAGTGTGGTCAATCAAAGGCCCAACAAGACAATGACCTGGCGCCAGGTTACTTTCACTTGTTTCTTCCATTTTCCTTTCCTTTTTCTACACTTTCTCAATTTCATTCTTTGACTAGGTCAAATTAGATCCAATCATTTGTACATTGTATATTTTTGTAAGGCCCATTCATGTAATATATATATATATATAAATATAAAAATTATTATATTATAATTCACATTGATTGATTTAAATATAAGATATATTTTTAATTTTTTAAATTTATATATATTTTTATCCAAATTTTAATTTATATATTTTTCATATTATTTGTAATTGTGTTGTTGGATCTAAAATTGCGTTAAATGCTCTATCCAGAAACAAGTAACCGTTGTCTTTTTTGTTTTGAATATCAATTTTTAAGGCAATTGGCGCAAAGCGACAAAGTGAAAATTAGGATAGAAATTACAGAATCCAATTTCCGTTCTTTATGATTTTTTTTTTCTCCTTTGGTAGGAAAGAAGAAATTTGTATTTTCTATCAATACCATTGTTTTGGGAAGTTGTTCAACTTGATTAATTAATTCTGTCTTAGCATACAAAGGAATATGGAATAATGGGGAAGATTGGCAAAAACTGCTATATATAGTTTTTGACAGTTTAGGTTCTAATGTTATCGTTTTTGTTTTTGTTTTTTGTTTTTCGTCTTTCGTTTTTATTTTTTTTCTTTTTATATTGAAAATTGTTTTTTTTATTTTTTATTTTTGAAAACTGAAAATAAAATTTTGAAAAAATTGCTATATATAGTTTTTGACAATTTAGGGTTCATTTGTTAACGTTTTCGTTTCTCGTTTTTATTTTTTCTTAAATTGAAAACAAAATTGTGTTTGATAAGTTGTTTTTTTTTTTTTTTAAATTTGAAAAAAAAAAACATATTTGGAAGGTTTCTTTTGTTTTTTATTTTTGAAAATTTAAAATATAATTTTGGAAAGTTTTAAAAAGTTTTAAAAATTATTGAAAACAGAAAATTAGTGTTTTAAATTTTTAAAAAATAATTTGAAACTGTTATCACAGGAGTATTATTGACAAAAATTATAATTAAACGACTATAATGATGTTACAATTATTATATTAAAAAATAATATTTTATTATATAAATAAAATTATATTAATTAATAAAATAATAATATATTAATAAAATTATATATTATTAATTACAAAGGAAACCTCAAAATTTTAATAACTTTTTTTCACATATTTTTTCACTTTTTTAAAATAAAAATATTTTATCCAAACATATTTTCAAATTTAATAAATTAAAAATAAAATAAAATAAAATATTTAAAAACATAAAACACAACACAATACTAAATGACTCCTTAGTCTTTGTCATGGACTGCTACCATTTTTATATGTTGGCCGGTTGCCTTGTCCGTTTGGAGGTTTAAGAGAAAAAAAATGTAAAGACTTAACAACGTACGTCAGTGTTTCGTATTGCGACGGGAGACACGGCTGGCAAATTGTGAGATGTACGAGGGTTGAGGCAGAAGGACCAAAGCCACTCGTCAAAGCTCTAAGAGAACAAACAGAGACAAAGGTCTCCTCTCCTTTCATCCATTTGACAAATTCAAAAACCAACAAAGAAAAACCAAAAGATCAGACTAAGGCTTTGACCATTCCAGACAAAAATCAGGTGAAAGAAAAAAGGCTGCCCGAGTCGACACATTCCAGAAGGAATTAAATAACGCTGGAAACTGGCAACAAGCTGTCTCTACACCGTACAGCAAGTCAATATCTGGATCGAGGCTATGGACGGCGAGGGTGAAACACGAAAAACGCTGCGTTTAGAACATTTATGATGATATGATCGCAGTGGCAGCAGCCTGGTTTTGTTTTTTTTTTCAGAGATTAATAGCATGTGAAAATAATTAAAATTAAATAAAGTAAATATAGTTTGACCCTCTAAAACATGATTTCATGACATTAACTATTCTTAAAATGAATAACCAGGATAAGACAAAACGACTTCTTCGACGAGATAATCGGGTCTATCTAGATCCCACTTTCTTCTATACCAGGATGATTCAAATTTATGTCCATTTATAGTTGTCCCCTTCTCCAGTACACCCCCATATTACACATTAATTTGTGGTGCCATTCCATGTCATTATCCTAAAAACAAAGTAACAAATTTGACCGAGAATGTTGTCATTCCAGGCGACGAGGTATCCAAAAAAATGTTTTATCCAACCTAACATCAAACACAGGCAATAATTTTTTTGAAAGGCTTTCATCTTGTCAACACTAATGTTTTATTTGATTCTGTTCACTTGGAATCTTGGATTAAGTTAGGTATGTAAGGTAACCCAAACGGACGCACGGTATTGCTTAGTAAATGAGAAAGTAACCGATTCAACGAAAATAACTTCCCTTCTTCATCCCTTGTATTCATTTCCACTAATGATGACTAATCCCAAAATATGAGTTTATCCAGAGAAAAGAATCGTACAGTAATTTGCCTATCATATAGCAAAAAGCAATCAAGACATGCTTGATCATCCCCTACTTCCTCATCTGAGCCCCCGAGAAGAATCAATCAAAAATTGGAAGCAATTGTTAACTTTTACCCGAAGCACTGACTGATCAGAGTCCAGAGACAAACCTACCTACACCAAGTGATCTCCTCAGGGCTTAACATCACCAGCAAGAACAAAAGAAATTTTACAAAATCTTCTGTCTAATCATCCTCAGAATCTGCATTTCAACAAAGTGACGCGACATTTCAGAAGAAAAAACAACCACTGTCAGGTAACAAGAGAGAAGATATGAAATTGCTCCTAGGGATCACACGGACAAAGAATTTGCAAATTAGACAAACTGGATTCAAGAACGTTTATTTCATAATTCAATGAGTTTTTATGTTATTTACAAGTCATTATCAACTCTGCATCTTCAGGAGAGGTGGGAGTGTGGACAAGCTGACAACAAAGGATGCAAAATTAAGTGGTATGTTTCCATCCTATTCATTTAAGTCAAACTATTGTACACATGCTAATAATGATTCTTTTAGCATATCAAGCAAACTATAGATAACAAGCCACATGAAGTCACTACAATGAAATTAGAAGAGAACTAGTAGATTATCATTTTTCTTTTCTTTTACATTGAAACTTAAAATGAGTGACTAGATGCATTGAGTGTAGTAGGTATTGTTATTCTATTTTATAACAAATAATTAATATTTCTCTAAGGTGCTCAAAAAACTGTCTTGCTATTGAGAATTTTTAAATTCCAACACTTTCACGTTTCGGCCCTGCTCTCATTCCTTCTATTACTTATGTTTGGGGGAGAGAGAGAAGTTTTAACAGTTTTTAGTAACAAATGACAGCAGCAAAGAGAAGCTATTACAATTTCCAAGGAATAAAAAGATAAAGGTGCAGACAATCTCCAAACTCCCAAACATCATAAAACAAGAGGCAAATTGACTTTTCTTCTTTCATTTTGAAGAAAAAAAAGAGAAAGAAAAAGACTTACCAGATCTAATGTCTTCTCCAACTTTTCCTCTATTTTCCAATTGTCTCATGATCATTGAGCAAATGAGAACCCACCAGTAGACGTGGAATACGAGTAGCATCAGCAACATAGTATTAAAAACATAGTACAGGGATTTGGGATATGACTCTGAAAGATTTAAAAACTCCCGAACATCATAGCTGTGAGAGGTCAACCACGAGAGTAGATACATGATCAGCCAGTGTGCAGGTAATGTAGTAAAACCAAATTATTAACCATAAGGGCAAACCTTGAACTTTTGATGACCCAAAATGGAAAGAATATTAGTCGTAGCAACAGCCAAGAGATGGCAAACAATCCAAAGCACACGCTTGCACCAAGCTCCCTCTCGGAATACTTGAAAACTTTAGCCGCTTCCAGAAACACATCACTTGCATCATGTAGGGCAAGGATAATTGAACCAATGCGGAAAAAACTGTAAACAAGCAAATTATAATCTTCTTCCCGCTTGGATATCTACAAGTTAATTTAATTTATCAAACCAAATCATACAAAGAAAAGTTTAAAATTCTCACGGGCTATGTTCTACCCTCACAAGAATTCTGTCAAATATTCAATTGTGATATAAGCATCAATTCCAAAAAAAAAAAAAAAAAAACTTGCAAGCAATAACTTTCCTAGATCTCGGTCAACAATTAGAAAAGGTCAATTCCTTAACTTGCAACACTAAAATAAAATGCTGAAGATATGAATTTTATCACAGCAATGACGAACATAAAAATAGCAGAGTGAAAAAAACTTGCAAGCAATAACTTTCCTAGATCTCGGTCAACAATTAGAAAAGGTCAATTCCTTAACTTGCAACACTAAAATAAAATGCTGAAGATATGAATTTTATCACAGCAATGACGAACATAAAAATAGCAGAGTGAAAAATGCCCGCATTTTCACCATGAATAAATGAAAAAGTTCACATACTGCAGAACATTTTAAAAGAAGGAATAAACTTTCTTCTTAGACTAAGAAATAGCAAAGCTTCCAGGTTGCCCTTTCGTCAAAACTACTAATGATCCAAAGGATGGCAATATACCACAATATTTAAAACCATAAGAGTATAATAGTGGCATCTAACAATCTGCCAGCTTATGGAGGCTTGCTGAAAGTAAACTCAAAGAAAGTTAAATGCATAGTACACCAGGGATACACTAATTTGTCTATACAAAACATCTGCTACTGCACCCACAATATATGCATACAGAAAAAAAACATACTTTAGAACATATGTATTATGCAATCTGAAGATAAATGGTCCAATGATGAGATTCCAGAAGATGTAACAATGACTATCAAAAGAATATTTGCCTGTCTGCTATATGGTAATGACTAGGAATTTGGTGCACATCCACAGAAACGGACAAGTTACCTTGTAATGTATGAGTATCCAATCAGGATAACAGTAATTACATGATGAGACATCATCACAGCAAAATCCTTCCTCCGAGTCTCCCAGTTAAGGAGTGCAGCAATGCTATAGATATAGAACCCACATTGGCACATGTAGAAAAGGCTTAAGGGAAGCCTGAACAAAAAAAAAATAGAAGAAGTAAATTTCAAATAGGTTGTTAGCAGGTATAACAAGCCCTAATCCTTCCACCATGCAGGACCCAGCAATTAAAGTAAAATGTAAAATTTAAAGAGAACAGAACATATGTGTTGGGGGATGTATCAAGGGAAAGCCAGATATATTGCAATAAAATACTGATAAATTAGATATATTCCTTGAAAGTGGAATAATATCCCAGGAGAAATTGTTTTCCCTCAAGATGGTGACCAGCATGACACTCCAGAGTCAAGACTGATACATTCACTCAAAGGAGGGAATGGGAAAGTTTACACCAACACCAATGAAAGCACAATAAAAAAAGTGAACAAACTCTTCGCAGATGATAAGAACAAGCTTAACTTAGGCTTACCAGCTAATAGTAAAGATAAAACATTAAGATTACTATCAGATAGGAGGACAAGGAAGCAAAAGACAAAACAAGAATGACAACAACGACAATAACAATCAGATATTGGATGCAAATTTGCTTTCAAATACATTAATACAAGAATGACTAAGCATTCACCGTAGCTTTACAAAGAGGTACACGCGAATAAGTACCAGCTTATCTGCAATTAATTTCAAATGAAGTAAAAAAAAGGAAATGTTTTGAGACACAATGCACAGAGTTGAAATATATATTTAAAAAAAAAAAGAGCAGAAAAATTGTTGGTCTGAATTAAAACAAAAGGAAAATAAGACATGAAACATTTTTTTCTTTTTGAGTACAGATATGCCACTTCATCTGGAGATACAAGAGTAGTTTCCAAAGCACTTCAACCACTAAAGACATGAACAATAATAGATTTGACCCACCTGTTAAAGAATAACTACAAACAAGAGAAAAGCCTTTCATGCAATGTCAATTTAGAGATCAGAAACATAGAGCCTTGACATCCAAGAGGGACAGTAACTTTCTGTCTATTAATGACAAAGACACTTATCCTCGCAAAGAGGTAAATATGACTGCATACTAGCACAAAATATGAGATTCATAAATACAACAGTTGCATATAAGTCCAGGAATATAGGTTACTCACTTCAACTCTTGATCAGGCCAGTCCCTGAAGTACCCTTTTGTATCTCTGAACCATGGCTCATAGAAGGTGATTTTGAGAACACATGTTTCAACAGTAGCATAGTATGCTAGCTTCCACATAGATTCTGAGCATTTCACAATTTTTGCCTGTGTAACCTCATTCATCTTCAAAGGAGCAGATCCATTACTCAACAACCAGATGGCCAACCTCTAAAAGAACATGAAGAAAAATGAAAATGTATTAACAAAAAAAACAAGTGATTCACTTACCCAGTTTATATATACTTGCACTTGCATGTAATATAAATATGAAATGAAACTATCAAAAGGAGAAACTGACCAACAGTTTGTTACCACCAATACAGTAAATAGAGCCATTGCTTTCTTTGACTATTATAAGCAAAGCCTTACATTCCAGGCCTGACTTTCAAATAGATGCATATCATTTCTAATGAAAGTAGAAGTTTCAAACATCAAGATTAAGAATAATCAACTTATAAACTGAAGCATAAATTGTTGGCTACTAGCTAATAAAAGCTCATTCCAGGTTTGCATTCCCTACACTCGCCACTTTGAATAGCAATATTTTTGCCTCTTCACGTGGAAAGCAAAAAGCACCTTCAAGAGATTCTTCTAGAAAAGACTTTAAGAAACTTAATGCTCATCCACGACCGCGGATTAAGCTTTACAAGCTATGCAAAAGCAAGAAAAATTCAACAAAATTCTGAAGTCACTAATCACTATCATTTGGTACAGATCTAAATCTAAACAATCCAACATTCAAAGACCAAGCTCTACTGTGTATTCATTTCTCTTGCCATGCTACACTTGTAAGATTCTATATTAAATAAACACATGAAATCGCTTCAAAAAGAAAGCACAACAGAGGCAAAGTTGGTAAAATATTTATTCCCCTCGTCCTCACCTCAAAACGTTTCCCACAATTACTTAACCATAGCATTATTAGCACATTTGCTTTTAAGAGCAGAGGGAGAAACATATAACATGAATTCATAGGCTGTATAAGGAGAGATGGAGTTGATAACACAATGGCAAAAAGTCAGGGAAGAGCATTGTCTGCATTAAGAAACTGCCTTTAAAAGTTATTTAACACAATCCTTATGTACCTCACAAATGTTTCTACAGCTACATCTTGTTTGGTTAAGATTCAATCAATGTGGTACAAATACAAACAATTGAATTACTGCCTCACAAAATGTTGGCGCGCAAGAGAGGATTTTCTCAACATTTACCAAATCCTTGTAAAGAAATATCACGGTGGCCTGACACAATTCTTTTAGACCCTCTAATATAAGTTCCATGATATCTTTGCATTTTGTTTTGACGAGGATTGGTGACTTTGCAAAATCATGGGAAATATATATGTTCAAAGGCTTCCTACTGGAAAATGGAAGAAAGAGAATTCTCAGATGCTAGAACCTCTTGCACTGATATCTCCCAACCATCTATTAACATGAATAATAACCATATGCCAACCATGTCATGAATACAAGCCAATTCCAATTGAATCAAATGTACATGCCCACAATATTTCTTGAAATTTATAGGACCAATTACAAGGATACACCTTATTGGTGAAACATATGCTTCCTTTCACCAAGAGCTTTAGTGCCAGAGATTAAATTATCTATTAGTGTAACAAGTACAGTTGAATCAAGTACGTCTCAGCCCTGAGACACAAGGACACTTGAAGAAGCAACTTGATTTAGGCTTTTGGAGATATTGTTACTTAACATACTGCAGGAAAATCTTCTGCTCTGAAAACTTTGCATAAATCAATTCCAAGGCTGCCCATAAATATGGCAATATATTTTCTTAGATTTTAGAAAATAGACATATGATAGCAGCACTCATCACCCCCACCCCTAAACGCACACACACTTTTTAATTTCTTAACAGTTTCTTGGATACAATGAATTTCAGTCAAATTAGAAATTTTAGAATCCTTTATTTAGTCTCTACGTACAAAACGGAATATTATAAAACTAAAAGAGCATTGCAGAATTAAAATTTGGAAACAATGAACTAATTTAGGAATCAATATTAAATGCAAATAACACAACGAAAGAGGGAATGAAATCTTACGCGAAAAATGAATTTGTCAAGGAAGAACCTAACGACAACGAAACCGAGCGCGAAGTAAACCGCTAGGAGGAAATGCCACGCCTCTGGCTTGGCATTGCGGTTCCAAATAGATAACTCCATCGGACAGCAGTTTCCAAAAGAAAGCATCAATCACAAGGGTCCAAAACTCGTCCAAGAATCCGATTCTTATTTCAATAATCCATTGCATTGAGCTTCCATTGAAGGTGATTGAGAGAGATCTGGTTTTCTAGCCCTAATTTTTTTGCCGCTAAAAAAATGGCTAGAAGGAAAAAAAAAAATTAGGTAACGGAAAAATGCAAAAAATATTAAAAAAATTTGTGAGGCGCGAGACTTTTCTCTTTTTTTTTTTTTTAATTTCTTTTGAACTTTGGTTCAGGGCTTTCCCATAGCGTGGGTCCTCCCCTTTCCCGTGGCGTGACATGTGGCAGAAAAGTTTTTGTATGATTGAGATTTTCCCCTTTTAATGGATAATGATTTTATTTTTCAATGGCTAGTCAAATTTGAGTAGATAATTTGTGTTTCTACACAAATAAAGAGTCAAACATCAACAGGATTTCACTTGAAATTCTATAAATCAATAAAAATAAGTGTTGAGCCACAATTCTCTTCTAACTAAAATTAATACCAAAAATTAACCAATAATTTATTAAGATTCATCTTTTTCAACAAAAAAATTTTAAATTTAAATTTTATCGATAATTATTTATTAAAATTATTTTAAATAAATAATTTATAATCATATATTTTAAATTAAATGATTGAATAATTTATTTATTTTTAAATTAAAAAAAAACAAATATTAAGCTAATCTATCACAATTACAATGTACTTGGTAAGAATAAAAGAAAGGATGTGAAAGAAATTTTGTTTTTTCATAATTTTTTTTCTTTCATAAAAGTGAAATAAGAGAAGAAAAAAATCAATTGGTTTTCGTTTCTCTCGCCAAATTTAATTCTTTTAAAGAAAAAATTTTATTTAATTTACACTCAAATTTAAAAATTTCAAAATCCGATTATTAATGAAAAATATCAAATAATATGGTTAATCCCTAAATTTTTATTTTCAACCTTAATTTTTAAGGTAAAGAGAAGTTAATAAAAAAAAAGTGATCACGTGTAAACAACAATTTATTATTATTTTAAATTTATATAATTTTTATTAAAATTTTAAATTATACTATTTTTATATTATTTATAATATTTTTATGTCATATCATGGTATTTTATTTAAAATTATCAAATTTAATACGATAGAAAGAATATATAATCCCAATTAGGTTTGAATTAGTCACAGGGGAGTCCAAAATTTTCAAAAATAAAACATTATACTCTCGCAGCAGTATTTTCAAAAAAAAAAAAATTTAATCGACAAATTTATTTGCTTCAAAGTAAATGATTTGGGATTCAAAATTTTCAAATGATTTTTGTTTATTTTAATTTTGAATTGATAATTTTTATGAGTTATGAGATATTTTAATTTGAAAATTTAAATAATTTATTTATTCAAAATTTTATAAATCATAACTAAATTTTGGTTTCGTTTGTTTCATAAAAAATTATTTCTGAAAAATATTTTTTGAATTAAAAGAGATGTTTTATTATTTAGATGAGTTAATTAAAAATGTTTTGGTTGTTTGATTATTTTTTGAAAATTTTATTTTTTAAAAATATATCAATATAATAATTAAAATATTAAAAATTATTTATTATTAAAATATATTGAAATTATTTGTTATTAAAATTATTAATATTAAAATTAATTATATTTTAATAATAATATTTAATATTAAAATATTATGTTAATAAAAAATACTTTAAATAAAACTATTTATTATTCTTTATATTATTTATTAACATATTATAATATTATTTATTAATAATATTTATTAATATATTATTTATTAATATAATATTATTTATAAATAAAATTATGTTCAAAAGAATTTATATATAGTTTTACTTATAAATAATTTTTTTCAAAAAATATCTTTTACTTTTTAAATCTATAAGATAATTTTCAAAAATATGATCTTATTTTTTATTGATAAAAAAGTTATTTTTTGTTAATCAATTAATTTTTCATCAAATAAATTTTTAAAAATATAAAAATTATTTTTTGAAAGTAATTTTTCATAACTTACGGATACGGAGTGTGTGTGTCATAGTTGTTCCATATGATTTGTTATGTTATATTTACATTGACTGGGAAAACTGGTTGGAAAAATCCAGATAAAATGTGGGGGGCTAATTTTTTGTGCCACTGGTTAGGACATTGCCCTTGTTTCGTAGGTCATTCCAACAGGACTGCCCTCGTTGATAAGCAGATTCAGGCCTTAAGAAATGAAATATATCAGGCATTGGAATTACCGGCGAAGGCACCATGGCTTCAAAGTTGAGAAGCATATCTAGACATGAATAAAGTTTAGGCCCTAGACATAGAATGTTCCCTCCAGCCAAGGGCACCTCTGTTTTTTCACACGATCAATCGGAAAGGTGACACGTGGCTTTATCATGGCCACTTCTTCAGACTGCCAGTTGAATCAGTATGCACGTGGACACGTGTTGCTTAACCAGTGGATGTTGTGAGTTGCGTAATTGCAATATTTTCGTGCTAATTCTTTTTTATATATATAATAAAAGGACAAAATTTTAGTATAAATAAGAAAAAAAATTAGTTCAAAATTAAATTTTTTATGTCTCCTCAAATGTCTTAATCATCAAGCTAAAAATTTGGGAATGATAATTTTTCTATTTATTATAGAGTGAAAAATGAAAGTTACATAACAAGAAATAATTTAAGATTTCATCAAATTGATTTATATAATTAATTTTAAAAGATAGTAATATTTGATTCATTTATTAATGAAATGTTATTCTTTGATTTATTTCATTTAAAAAAAGTTGTATTATTTATTTTATTAATAATATATAAAATTTATATATTAATAATATATTAAATATAAAATTTTTAATAACTTTTATTTAAATCTCATTAAAACTCTTTTACTAAAATTAATAATATACATATTCTAATGAAAAGTTACAATTACTAGCTGCAAAAATAACATGAACTGAATAATTATACTAAATCAAGGTGAAATTTGATATGATTTGAGAAACCCATGGTGAAAAATAGTAGGGTTTGGTTAGGGAGAAGGAAAGTTTTTGTTGCTGGAATGCTGGATGGACTCTTTCCCAATCCTGTAACATGGGATCGGCCTAAGGGCACACATGTTGAATAAAACTGCTGGATTCTTTCCAATATCTGGCTGGAAATCCTTGTTGAGGGACTGGGAATGGGGCATATTGAATCCCACTTTGAGAACCCACCACCTTCCACCTGCAAACAAATGATCATCACACCCAAACAGAAAGAGACTTGTCAAAATTATTAAGCACTAAAATATTTTACAAAAATGTTATGCCATTAAGAACAAAATTCTTGATTATAACCAATCTTTTGTAATACTATACCTAAATCTTGTTACAAAATGGTGAACCAAAATGAGAGCCTCCAGCTTGGCTAACTCGTTGCCGGGGCAAGAATGAACGCCGTTGCCAAATGGTAAGAAGGTATTGGGTTTTGGAGCTACCTGCTTGAAGCCAAAGCCAGAAAAACAAAAACTGTAAGCTTTTTTTACCAGCCTATTTTGCTGCTTGTGTGTGTGTGCTTTATTTGTCGTATGTGCACGGGTATGGAAAAGAAAACGATCAAAGTTAGTGGAAATTTGCTATAGTAAATATCTAGAACACCAAAATACCTCAAATCTAGATGGATCAAATTCATGAGGATCAGAAAAGAATTCTGGGTCGTGATGAATATTCCTGAACAATGGCATCACTTTCCAACCCTTGGGTATTAGGTATCCTGTACATTTAAATGTGAAACAACAGATGATGATACTCATTAATGAGAGTCCTTAAATCCAATACAGATAAAGAATATTCCCGTTTAAGCCTTTAATTACCCCTATATTCCACATCAACTACTGCTTCCCTGAATGTGAAAGTTATGATGCTTGCCATCCTCAAGCTCTCTAGCACAACCTGGAAATTAGCAAAAGTTCAGAGGTTTCTTGAAGTTTGCTTTTCTTGAAACAATCCGCATGACTTTAAACAGTTCATACCCTATATGTAAGAGGCATGCTCCTTGTCTGTGCCCATGTTAGGGGCCTCTTTCCTCCATCGTTTGACCCGTATATCACCTTTTGCTCTGCCTGTAACGATTTTGGCAATCATAAATTGAGACATATCAGATTCTCGGATTATAATTTTCTACGAAGTTTTAGTGGAATTCTATTATTACCTTAACAGCTTCCAGAAGTTTCGGGTCATCATGGAGGAATTTGAGAATCCATGTTATAACACTGGCTGTTGTGTCCTGGGCAGCAAAAAGTACTCCAATGATGTTATCAGCAATTTGTTCTTCAGTCAAAGTTTGCCCCTTTTCATCCTTGAAGTTCAATAAATGGCCCAAAAGGTCCTTCTCCGCCAGCCTTTTCTCCTTTCTCTCACAAATTATTTCACCCAGAATCTGATTCAGCCTTTTCCTTGCCTTTTGAATAAGAAAAAAAAAAAAAGAATATATCAGAATTGCCTCCAACTGATCACATATGATTCTCTGACAACGACAGACGAAATGGTTCTTACAAGGAGTGCTTTGTGATATGCAGTCCCAGTAATGTTTGTAGGGAAAGAGTTGTAACCTTTATCAACTATCTGGTAGTTCTCCTCCAACTTCTCTTTGTAGCCTCTATCCAAGTGACCAAAAATGGAAAGAATGCCGACTTCAAAAGAGAACTGTAGAGAGTCAAGGAAACCCACATGTTAGAAAATCATGATCCAAACTAAGTGGAGGTCCCAGGACTTTAAAAAAGTTTTTAAGTACAACGAGGTTCACATTAGAAACATGTTTAAAGATGTAGTCTAACCTTCTTCATCTCATACAAGGTGTTTATAACTTGTCCAGAGGCAGCCCATGAGTCCATGGCAGAAACAGCTATTTCTTCGATATCAGGAATTAACTTCCTGATGGCATCAGGGGCTAGTGTTCTTTGAACCAACTTCCTTAGTTGAGTGTGGCATTCACCCTGGTGAAAGAATAGCGCATAAGGGCCAATCAGCTTCTCTTTGCTTTTGGGGTACGTTGGCTTGAACAAGTGAGCATGAGTCACCAGCACAAACCTTGCAGCTTCAGGGCTGGCCAGCATGACGCAAGGGCAACCAAGAATGTGGGTTTTGAATATTTCTCCATATCTGAACATGAAAAAAAAATGGCACCACCAACCAAGTTCAGTACACTACATGCAAAAAGCAGAGAGCTTAAGTACAGAAAGGGAGATGAACAAGAAATAATACACCTAGAGAGCATGGAAAAAACCTCTTTTGCTTTGTCAAAAAGAAGATATTTGGGTCTTGAGAGTAGAGTTGGAGAGTTTCTCCAATATATGGCCAACCCATTGAACCTGGCGGAAGCTTAAATCTTTTTATAGGAAGTCCACTCTTTTGCTTCCTTATGAATGGAAATGAAAGAAGAGTGAAGAGAAAGAGAATTACGTATGGTAAAATAGAAACAGTCTCCATAGAAAAAATGTAGTCCCTCTCTGTTTCCCTCTCTCTCTCTCTCCCTTTGCCCAATGAGATTGTGGTGTTGCAGCTAGCAATAGGTTATGGCAAAAAGGATTAGGGAATATATGGTGAACGATGCTTTGTTGTGAAGATGATATCAGTGGGGGGAGAAGGTGAGGTGGCTTGGGGGTTTATATAGAGTGAATTGTGTAGCAGAAAGTTGACAGGGACAACCAATTTCATATATATAAATATCATCCACACTGGCTAGCTATAGTATTACACATTCATCACGTCATCTTTTCGATTTGAAAAAGAACGAGTGAGTCCTAGAAATTACTCTTTCCTTAATGCACATCAATGAAATTGACTGGCTGACGTAAGGAAAAACAAAACAAACAAATCACGTAAATAAGAGTAGGAAAGGTTGGGGTTAACATTGCAAATCAGGTTGTTAATAGGGGGAAGATTTTTTTCCTTTTAAAATATATTTTTTGAATTATTGAGAAATATTACAGTTTTGATATTATTTGTTGGGTTAAAAGCTTTTAATTTAATCATATCAACGAAAGCGAAATCAAACAATAAATCAAACACATAAGAGACAATAATTTAACGTGGTTCAGTCCAATTGACCTACATTCACGGATAAGAAAAAAGATCCACTAGTTGTAGAAAATTACAAACATACATCAAATCATCAACCTCACTCAACAATCAATACTCATAAGACACTCTCAATCTCCTCTAGTCCTATGGAGTATTCTCAACCTAAATAAATACAAATACAAACCCTTGTGCACTCTTTCAACATAACCAAACACATACTCATATGCTCTCATACATCATATCTATGTGGATCCTCTCAGTCTCTTCTAGTCCACTCACAAACAAACATACACACCCATAAGACGTAGAGCCCCAATACTCCTATGGGTGTCTATCCCACAAAACCCTACAACTCTCTTACATCTTTTTCTCATACCTAACCCTGTAGAGACTTCACCTATTTATAACCATACAAACTTGCCCATTAAGAATCCCTCTCCTCTTAGAATTCTTCTCCTGTAAGTCAAACTTGCCTATTAAGAATCTTTTTTCTTTTAGAATTCTTCTTTTGCAAGTCAAACTTACTTATTAAGAATCCTCTTTCTTTTGAAATTCTTCTTTTGCAAGTCTTCTTGTCCATCAAGCAATATCTGACAAATCTCAAACAAATCTCAAACAAATCTCTTATGTGATTTGAGTCAATATTCCTAACAATCTCCACCTTGACTCAAATTCCATCAATCATCTGTCTTCATGTTAGACATGCTTGGCTCCACCTGCAATAAAAGTCTCACAATCATCTTCTCTTCTCTTGTGTCTTCACGCTTCATACAAATCAATCCTCAATCTTCAAAACTTAAACTCGAACTCTTCTCTCGAATCGAGCTTTTTTGGACTTGCTTCTTCCCATGTCTCAAACCATGCACTTCTCAAACCTTTAGCTCTTCTCACATCTCGAACTTTCAGCTCTTTCACGTCTCGAACCTTTGACTTTTTTCACACTTTGAATCTTTAACTTTTCTTACGTTTCGAACCTTTAGCTTTGATACCACTTGTTGAGGAACACCACAACTCTGATACCATTTGTTGGGCTAAAAGCCTCCAATCCAATCACACCAACGGAAGCGAAATCAAACAATAAATCAAACACATAAGAGACAACAATTTAACATGGTTCGGTCCAATTGACCCACATCCACGAATGAGAAAAAAGATCCACTAGTTGTAAAAAATTACAAACATACATAAAATCATCAACCTCACTCAACAATCAATACTCATAAGACACTCTCAATCTCCTCTAGTCCTATGGAGTATTCTCAACTCAAATAAATACAAATACAAACCCTTGTGCACCCTTTCAACATAACCAAATGCATACCCATATGCTCCCATATATCATACCTATGTGGATCCTCTCAGTCTCTTCTAGTCCACTCACAAACAAACATACACACTAATAAGACATAGAGCTCCAATACTCCTATAGGGTGTCTATCCCACAAAACCCTACAACTCTTTTACATATTTTTCTCATACCTAACCCTGTAGAGACTTTACCTATTTAAAGAATCCTTCTCCTCTTAGAATTCTTCTCCTGTAAGTCAAACTTGCCTATTAAGAATCCTTTTTCTTTTAGAATTCTTCTTTTGCAAGTCAAACTTACTTATTAAGAGTCCTCTTTCTTTTGAAATTCTTCTTTTGCAAGTCTTCTTGTCCATCAAACAATATCTGACAAATCTCAAACAAATCTCTTATGTGATTTGAGTCAATATTCCTTACATAAATTACCTGTTGTTGAAGAAAGACATAGTCATTGACAAGATCTACTGCAAATGGTGAGGATGAACTCCTTTACTGTATGCATTCCCCTTAAGCTACCAAACTCTGTTAGGGGAAAAGACATGGCAAACAGGTCAGTCCAAAGGAAAGGATAGCAGCAGCTAGCATTTCTTTCGAGCAAACTAGCAATTGGCTCTCCTTAAACACATGAAAAGATACATTAATGTTTGTTGCTATTTCCCCATTGTGGACAAGATCAGGTCTAGTATTTTGAGGATAAATAAAGAGTTTAATTTAATACTTATCTATATTAATATTATAATAAATAGTTAAAATTTTAAATTTTATCACTAGTATATAAATAATAACCTAATTTATTTATTTTTATTTCCCTTTTAATTGATTCACCAACTACTACCCTCTCTTTGTTCCAATATAGTGGAGTTATAAATTTATTTTGACACATTAAGTTTAAAATTTTGTTTTCTTAATCATTGTGATTTAACGAACCAATGCAACGTTTAACTCAATTAATTAATATTTAATAAATCTAAAATTAAAATTGTTTAATACTTACAATTTTTTTTTTATTTCCAAATTGCAGCATCTTTCATATGAAAAAATTGTACAAGTATACATACCATAAGCTACATTAGTAGTATCATTTCTTTTCTTTTTTTTTTGTTTTCACTTTGGCAATATTGTTTCTTATAATTTAAAAAAAATTGAGACACTTTAACATTTTATACAATCATAAATATTTGCATTTTTCTTTAAAAAAAATGAAGTCAAGATTTTCTTTTATATTTTAAAGATAATTGAGATGCTACTTTTTCTTTCATGTACAATTGCGTACAGAATCCTATAACCAAGACCGACCATGGTAAAAAGGAAACACACCTATCCCCCATTCTTTTGTTTGACATGCATGGTGAAGAATTTGGTACTTGAATTTAGTCTTGGTTGTAAAAATTGGTATTCCAAACAAGAAAAAAGACTTAAATTCCATACAAAAGAAAGATATAAATTCCATATCTTATTGGTCGGTTGATAATGACCTTATCTTTATTTTTTTTTCCTTTTTTCCACTTTTTTACAGTCAAAAAGATATATGGCCAAGAAAAATATACTACTGCAAACATTTTGGTGATCAATGCCATATTTTATGTTAGTTTTAAGATGACAAGTTGGGTGATTTGGTAAATAAAAATTAAACATATGTTTGATTCATTATTATAGTAAATTTGCATTTTACCATTGATACTTAATTATTTACTAGTTAATTAAGTCTTATATGGATTTTTAAGTGTTTTTATTTAAGTATCAATGTTGAAATTAAACAATTTTAAAAAAATCTAAGTATCCAATAATTATATTAAAACTCTATTCTATAAACAAAACAACACAATAAGAGGTCTTCCATAGTATCAAAACTTGAGAAGGGCAACGGAGTAGATATTTGTTATTTTTAAAATATTTGTATTCGAAATCGTTTAAATTTAATATTATTATCTAAATTCGAATCTATTTAAATAAATATTATCTATTTAAATATTGAATTAGTTAAAATATTTATTTATTTTAATTTTTTATCAAAATATAAAATAAATAAAAATTTAATTTATTTAATTTAAATTTTAAGTTTACTATTAATTAATAATAAATAAAAGTTAATTTTTAAGCTTTGAAACTTTCTAAAAATAACGAATTTGAAAACAAATTAAAATATTTGTTATTATTTATTAAAATTTAAATGAATTCAAATATTAAATATCTAAATGATATTATCTATATCCACTTCAAATTTATTATGAATAATAAATATTTTATTTGTATCTATTAATTATTCAATACAAATGAATTAAATAATAATGAATTTCTATTTATTTACTATCCATTATTATTCTTATCAAAACTCTAGATAAAATTCAGGATTCTATCTCCATATGTATCCAAAAAATAAGTAGAGATTTAATCTTCAATTAAAATTTCAATGCGATAAAAAAGTTTTTATTATATTATTTTAATTTATCGAAATGATTTAAAAAATAAACATAAAAATTCAACAGATCCTATTAATTAATGTCATTAAATTACGGATAAAGATTAACATAAAAATGGCCGCAGTTCTTTTTTTTTTTTTTAGTGGTTTTTTTGAAAACAAGAAATAGCATAACCTTATTAAGGACGTAAAAATATTAAAATGAAAAATCCAAGGGCAGGTCCGTCTTTTTGTGCTGGAGCGTTTTACAGGCCAATCGAGTTAAATCGGCCGTGGCGGGACCCAATAGAGGACCCATGAATTGATACGGCGGTGCATGACAGCTCACAAGATCGCGCCGTTATGATCTTCTCGTTTAGTCGATCGAATCAGCCTGGGACCATGCCACATCAAGTCACATTTTTGGACGTGGGACCCAATAGTACCGACTAATGCAGGCGTGGAAGTTTCCGAGGGTAGAGAAGCTGGGGACTTGCTGTCCACTGAAAAATTTTCCCATAAAACATGCAACGTCAGGACAAAAGGTGACGAAAGTCACGATTAAAACAGAGCTGGCTAACCACGTGTCATGAATCTGGTGGTGAAGATCGACAGAGTTAGGGACCGGACCGAGAATCAAGTATTTCACCATTGGTCAACATGCTGTTACCAACTTTTTTTTGGTAAGTAGATTATTTTTTTTGTTTGATTATATCCTATGATGTAATATTTCTCAAAGGATTAAGGAAAAAAATCTGAATTTTAACCATTTTTATGTTTTTTTTTATTTAAATACATGTAAAATAAAAAAAATAAAGACCCAAACAATATAACAATTACAATAATTTTACCTCTTTAATCATGTACCAAAAGTT